CCCCCCATTATCGCAAAATTAATTGATATAATTAGACTGAGTTCCTTATCAGCATTCTGAAATATCCATGTTACAAATACAGTATTACTGCCAGGATGTGCCAAGCGATATCTGGTTGGGGGGTGGGTGGATGGTGAACTTAAAAAATTCGGCCCCGGCCTTCCTTTTCGGGGGCCCCCTCAAGATGTTTTCTGGTAAGCAAAAATTTTACGGTAAAATGTAAAGGGTGGGAAGGGGGGAGGGGAGATGGGCGACGTTTTTTGGAAAAAACGTTCCAAAAATTAATTTTGCGATAATGGGGGGTTCAAAATACTTTTCAAACCTTTTTCCGTTTTTCGACCTCAATTTCAGAACATGTTGCACAATTCCAGCATTCCGGGGCCCCCTCTGGGAAAGTTGGACCCCCTTTCAAGTTGACTTTTTTGGCCTGAGAACTGCCTGAGTGTTCTAGATGTATCATCCAGAAATGGTTGGATAAATGTAATTGAAATTGGACCAAAAGTATATGTCAGATAACGCGTAACCACAAACAGCCATACAAAAGAGAAGAAATATACCGGGGGAAATCCCTACATAAGAAATATACCGGGGGAAATCCGGCAATTGATAAAACTAGAATAGTGAAGCGAATAGTGCGAATAGTGCTAATAGTCGACGAATAGTACGAATAGTCCGCGAATAGTCGACGAATAGTACGAATAGTCCGCGAATAGTCGACGAATAGTACGAATAGTCCGCGAATAGTCGACGAATAGTACGAATAGTCCGCGAATAGGCGACGAATAGTACGAATAATCGACGAATAGTGCAATAGAGACTTTGCCAGGCTTTGCAGCAGTGCTGTAGAAATAAATTTACCGGGGGGGGGCTCTATTGACAAACACGAAATCGTGAAAACATTCGTTGACGTACGTCAATGACGTCATACGTAACCGGTGAAAATTATGGGAACCACTGAGTATTTTAATAAAATATAAAACAACGGTAACTTCGAAAATAAACATTTTAATATTGTAGCTTTCTGCTGGTCATATTCAGCAAATTTTTTCCCAGTACCGCAGGCTCGTATTTTCAGCGAACTTGTTGTGAAAAATTGAAACTTTTGCATTTTGCACAGAACTGCCCACTTTCTGTAAGATGTCCGCTGACAATACGAGCCCGCATGAGTAGGAGGAATTTTGCTAAATTTGACCAACGTGTTTCGACTAAAATACAGTCATCGTCAGGAAATATATTTCATAATTTTTAAATTTATAATCATTCCTGATGGTAAGTGGTAACCATATGAGCGAGTCATGAATTTTACTGATGGGATTTTATAGGAATTTTACTTGTAAGTTGTGACGTTGTAACTGAAGATTTAAGGGCTTAAGTGATTTAGTGCGCTTGGAAAACGTGGTTTACATCACGAAACAAGAGAAGGTATCGATTTATTATTTAAGCCCGTTTTTGGGCGAATTTGTTCGTGCGAAGCGAAAACCAAATTTCGGCAATGTGATTGGTCAGCGACAAAATTCGCCGCGAAAATGTTGGATCAGCCTACTCTTTTACTTGTTGCTTCGCGCGAACAAATTCGCCCAGTGGAAAACGTCATTCTAGTGATTGTCATTCTACTTCCTGTTAAATATTTGTTAAAACTCAGTGGTCCCGTAATTTTTACCGATTACGTATGACGTCATTGACATCAACGAATGTTTTCACGATTTCATGTTTGTCAATAGAGCCCCCCCCCCCCCCCGCTCGTTTCGGTAAATTTAGTTCTGCAGCACGGTGGAAAGCCTTGCAAAGTCTCTATTGCACTATTCTTCGACTATTCGTCGACTATTCGCGGACCATTCGTCGACTATTCGCCGACTATTCGTACTATTCGTCGACTATTCGCACTATTTGTCGACTATTCGCGGACTATTCGCACTATTCGTCGACTATTCGCAGACTATTCGTACTATTCGTCGACTATTCGCACTATTCGCTTCACTATTCTAGTTTTATCAATTGCCGGGGAAATCCCTACAGGAGAGATTATTTATAACTCATTACTGATTTTATCCACGAAGACGGAATTCATTTTGTAAACCAACTATTTATTTCATGGATAACTCACACGTACACGTTGTCTTTATCTTCTTGCTGTTTTAAA